TGTATTATATATCATGCTTCAGTAGTCCCCCCGGCCCTCCGCCGACCGGTAGGAGCATACCGTTAGGTTGACGGGGTCAGCCTTTCATAGAGACGACGAATTCATCACTTTCGCGCAGTGCGACTGGCTTGCTCACGCTCTCGGCTCAGCTTTAATAGGTAAAATAACAAGTAAAATGACGTTGTAAAATACATACGAGACCAATAAAGCGCGGAGTCAGCAGCCGTGGAGATACGCGGAACGTGAATGTCCATACGGAAGCAATGTCAGCCCTTGCTACCAACCCTTACAGGGAATGGATCGCTGCCAGTATACCGACCAGAGGCCATCAGTCATGCTGCTCTTCGATGGATGCCCACCTCAGGCATCGGCATCTATGCTCTCACAAGCTGAAATGTATACCATCATTGACAAGTGTACGAGATAACTTCTAGACAACGCACCCTTCCACTTGCCCATGATGTGATCACCAGATTGCCACGAGTTCAGAGGATCATCGAGTCTAAACCTGGGATCCTTGCACTCTTCATAAAGCATGAAAGAGAGGGTGCCGTATTTGCGAACACGGTCCAAAACTTCCTCCGAAATGTCTCGTACCAGATTCGTTTTGTTCCTGAACTTGTAGCCTGCGCGATCCACCCACGATCCGGTAGTACCAGCCCTGAGGATACGGCGATCCGCCGCCGTTTTACTGCTGTCAATCAGAGTCCACTCCCGCATTGCCACTCGTATTTTGGCGCCGCGTGGTGTTAGAGAAGGGTAAACCTTCAAAGCGCAGTTCATAGCGTAATTCACAAGATTATCCAACATCTGAGATATCTAGATATCAGATGGATATTATCAGAATATTTGCAAATAACGCGCACCCGGAAATCCATAAAGAAATCAATGGGAACCTGGAACTTCTGGCGGTATCGGTTGACGAAGCAGATTGGTCGCTCGCTGTAAGTCTGACCGCCTTCCCAAGGGTACCCAATGAAGACGGGGGAAGGTTTCCGCATTTACAGGACGTTCTTGAGAACAAGCTTGACTTCGCACCGCGTCAACTCAGCCATTGCACTCACGTTGTCGAGTGTTGAACGCGCTGTCACGACGATGTGGTGCGTGTCTCCACGCTCTCCCTGCGTATTATGTCCACGTCAATAAGAAAACAAAACGCACTCGTCGTCGAGAAGCCAAAAGAAACCCACCGATTGAGCATGGAAAGCGCGAATTTGACAGAATCTCTATGACTGCGTGCGTCCTCCCTATACCTCTGCAATTCTTTCTCTGCGAACAAGCGCCATCCGGCTCTGAGCCAAAGATCCCTCCAATCTTTCGGGTACCGCCCTCTCAAGCGCTGCTGCTGCCATACGATATTCCTCTCCATCTTCTCGAGCGACGCCCGGCAAGCCGCTATGCGCGCCTCGATGTCCCGCCGGAGCTCACTGGGCATGCAAGATGGTGCACGGGGAGTATGAAGTTTGTTCTGGAGAGACGCGAGCGCCCCGGATAGGGTGTGTAGTTCCAGCAGGAGCTCGCTGTATCGCTCGGAGTTGCCCGCGCTGCTTGCGAGCCGGCTGATCACTGACGCCGCGAGCTGGATGAGCGAGACTATGTCGCCGAAGGAGCCGAAGCTTATGGATATCGACATCGCACTCTACAGTCAAAGAGAGGGGGGGGGGTTATTATGGGATGCAAGTTATGCAGCAGAGATACGAAGCATTTTGCACGAGGCAGACTGTTTCTCATGAGTACAGCAATTGGGACCCACATCGGATGGCCTTCCTGATATCTGCACGGTGAGCGACTCATGAACGTGACTATAATACCAGGATAGGAATTTGAACATGAGAATAGGCGTGCGCACCTGACCTACCATTCAAACTATGCACAGATTCTTCCTGATTGGTGTCGTGTCCTGGAGGGATGACTCGCAGTCGCTCGCGTAGTACTTGTCGACTGTTCTGTAAAGGACACGTCGGGATTGCTCACGTATGGACTCATGATCCGAAGTTCATATTCCACGGATCTTACGGCTCGAACACTGGTGAAATGTAGATTTAATGTGAGCAAGTCGACTCGAGCAATAACCGGTGATTCGCATCAAGTCAAGTCTGCCTTCGCATCCGAGATCTCCGCCAGATGCTTTGCAGTGTCGAGGGTGTGGGATTCTTATATTCGTTCTCGTGCGAGTCACGCTGCAGTGGACGCTCGCGCCTGTCTCGGTCGTCTCCTACCAGTCGACGCGTTCGGTGCATCGGAGATTGGCGTCGTCCCGCTGGCTCGACCTTGCAGAATGTGCCTGACAATTCAGCGCGCAAGACGGGTCCCGAGGGCGAGGAAGTCGAAGTCTCGGCCAGAGGGACGGGGAATGCAATGAGGGGGAAGCGCGCGCGGTAGTTCGCCGCATCAGCTGCAAAGGCGGGAAATCTTGGATATGGAACGTAACCGAATGTGTCTCCTATTCCCAAGCCTATAGCACTGCGTCCCTCCACTCCAGTGGTCGCGTTTGATGAATCCGGTTGGATAGTCGTTATAGTCGTCCTCGTATAGTGCAGTAAGACGCGTACCTGTCTCGGTCGTCTTCCGTCGATGCCGTGAACTTTGCTGCCGTTCTCCAGACTGTCGGGACGGCGCAGAGAGCAGCAGCACCTGTAGCTAGCCAAGAGCGCGAGATGCATGCGTGAGCGGGAGAGTGTGCGAGTGCAAGCGGATGGACGTCCGACTAGGCGGCGGAGCTTCAATCAAACTTGAAAAAGTGGCCGCCGCGAGTCCTCGACACACATGTTTGCTGAACGTTTCATGCTGCTGTTGGAAATCTGATGGAAAGCCACGACACCGTGGTCAGGTAGAATATATAATGCGACGACCATGCACCATCTCTTATGTATGGTGTGTATCGTGCAATACACCCGCCACCGAAATGTCGGCATAAGCCCGTCACTCTCAGCCAACCAATATTGAGATGGTAATGTAATGAGATATCTAGTATTACAGCCGAGCCGTATCAGCAATGTACGTCCAGTTCCTTACAGAATATGCTTACCGTGGAATCATGTGCTCGTGCTCGTGCGCTCTCCTGCCTTATATCAGGTTGTATATGCTCAGTGACATTCCACCGCCCATTAAGAGTATACTCACTGATGAAGAGTTATGGAGGCAGCAGCACGCACAGTGCGCCCTACACAACTCACCTGTATTGAGTGGATGCTGTAGCTACTGGTAAAGCTCGTGTGAACGACCCTTTTTCATTAGGCAGCAGAGCTGCAGGGTTTATATACACTGTGGCCCATAGGCTGACTAAGCTACGTGGAATATCTATAATCCTACTGAGCTCCACCTATGATGTCACTGACCCACATGAGCTCCGTGCCCTTTGTACAATAATGGAATATACCAGAATGTTCCAGAGGGTTCCGGTATGTTCTGGTACGTTGTAGAACCTGGCAGCTAAGTCAGCGCCTAGTTCAACACTCCCCCTCACTAAGTGCCGCGGATAATCGCGCACGCAAGCGTTGGGCTGACTTAGATTACTTGTAAAACCTAAGTCCAAGTTGCGCTCTGAAGCGCAAGAACTTGACATGTCCTAAGTTCTTAGTGAACATGTCGGCAGGGTTATTCTCGCCATCGATGTAGAATACTTCAACTTTCTTCTGCTCGATGACTTCCCTGATATAGTGATAGCGAATGTCAATATGTTTAGACCTTCGCTCGGTGACAGGATTAGACGCAAGGAAGATAGATCCTTGGTTGTCACCGCAAATAGGAATGGGGCCGAGTTGGTAGCCTAACTCTTCAAAGAGTTGTCTAACCCATACACATTGGCGGCTACAATCACTGAGCGCCATGTACTCGGCTTCAGTGGAGGATAGCGCAACAGTTTTCTGCGCTCTCGACTGCCAACTGAATATGCCATTGGCTAATTTAAGGAAGTAGCCGGTTTGGGATTTCCTGGTACTGGGATCTGATGCCCAGTCCGAATCGGTACACACAGTAATACCAAGTCCACTAGCACCATCAAAAGCTAGTGTATAATTACGAGTCCCGATTAGATAGCGGCAGATATACAGCGCTTTATCTAAATGGGCTTGAGATGGATTAGCAGCAAATTGCGCTAACTTGGTAACTGCATAGCTGATATCCGGTCGAGTTCCGAGCATAATATAGAGTAAGGAACCGATCACGGTTTGGAACCGGCTACGAAGAGTAGGATTGACCGGGCCATTGTGAGGTTCAGGTCGATAGCCTGCAGGGAGAGGAGTTGGCGCAGATTTTGCATTCTGCATGCCACAACGCTGCAGCACTTTATCAAGGTAGGCGATCTGATCGAGATGAATCTCTCGGCCTTGCCTTGTAATGTGCATGCGTAGGAATTCCTTGACATCGCCAAGGTCCCTGCATTCCCACTTCTTCATGAATCGTGACTTAACATCTGTCACGAGAGACTTGTCCTTGCCAAAGAACAAGGCATCGTCAACGTAGATGACAATGATTACCATGCGCCCATCCTTCTCCTTGAATAAGAAGATGCCAGCATCGGTAGTTAGACATTTGCAGCCTAATTTCTCTAAAGACTCAGCAAGTGTGCGCCACCAGGCAAGCCCCGCTTGCTTAAGTCCGTAGAGTGCACGGCGCAGTCTACAAACCTTGTGCTCCTGACCTTTTACGGCAAAGCCTTCAGGTTGTTCCATATAAATTTCCTCATCCAGTTTGCCATATAGATAGGCATTGCGCACATCGAGTCCAGATATGTGCCAGTCCTCAAGCGCTGCTAGCGCGAGCATAAGGCGCACTGTCTCAAAGCGCACAACTGGTGAGAATATTTGGTCGAAGTCTATACCTTCAACCTGCGAGAAGCCTTTAGCGACTAATCTCGCTTTGCGACGTCCATCTGATTTGACGTCAAATACCCAGCGACATTTTATGACTTTACGCCCTTTAGGGCGGTCAACCAAGTCGAAGACTCTGCGCCGACGAAGTGCATCCAATTCTTCGTGGCAAGCAGCTCTCCATTCCTTCTGCTTCTCTGGTGGTAAGCGAAGGATATCGCGGTACGTCCATTCTCTGACATTGGACGTGTCTGGATCATCTGCCTCAGGCGAAATAGCCTTCAGAAGCAGGTAATTAATCAATGGTACTCCCCCTTCCCGGCATAGCTGTGCCAGAAGTAACTCATCAGCGTCATGTTCAGACCGCTGGTCAGAGGCTTCAGGAGCGATTGGCTCATGCGAAGCACCCGGGGATTGAGCAGGAGGGTCGCGAGGTGGAGGGGCAGAGCTAGGTCCGGGAACCTGTTGCATCTGCTTGGACTGGCGAGGTATGCGAGACGTCTTAGGTTTTTCGCCAACTAAATCCTTCCACTTCTTGTCAGACTCAATCTCGCGATAGGTTTCTATGGGATTCCGTGATTCACCGTAGATATTACCCGGGCGAGTTACTGGTCTCCTTTCTCTCACCGGTCTCCGCGGCTCATCTTGTGGCGCAGGATCCCCCGGAGGTGGAGAAGGCGGGTTCTCAGGCTCTCGCGCCTCAGGCTGCGCAGGTTCGTCGTCACGATCCTGGCCTGGCCCCTTTTGGGATTTAGGAGGAGGACGTGAGTCTGGCTCATCGTCATCAGTGATCCAGTCATCATCAGAATTGTCTGGTTGACTGTCAGCTGGTTTGGGCGCACTTTGCAGCCTAGTGCTTGCCCGTCGCTTAGTATTAGGGCATTTAGGGAACATAGCTTCGTCAAACAGCGCAGTCGGCTGAGTGACTATACTATTATTGGCGCGCATGAACTTGAAGCCATGGCCACCATCTGCGACACCAATGTAAGTCATCAGCTCAGCTTTAGGCGATAACTTATTGGGTCTGGTTTCCTTTGGCAGGTAGACGTACGCTCCGCATCCAAAGACACGTAAGTGCTTGATGTCAGGAGCTTCCTTGTTCAGGACCTCATAAGGAGTCTGCCATTGATGGCGCTTCAAAGGGGTCCGATTGTAGACGTGAACAGCATGGTCTACTGCAAATTCCCACCAAGATGGAGGTGAGCAGGACTCTAGCCGCATTGACTGCGCTTTGTCCATTATAGTCCGAATAAAGCGCTCTGCGCGACCATTCTGTTGGTGCGCATAAGGTGCGCTTTGTCGGATTTTTATGCCCTCATCTCTGAGCATCTCGATGAATGCATCAGATTTGTATTCTCCCCCTGCATCGGACATCCACTCCTTAATTTTCCTGCCATATTGATTTTGTACGTAGGCAAGAAATTGACGAGTCTTAGCAATTGCAGCACCCTTAGAGCGCATATGCATGACCCATCCATAGGAGGTGTAATCGTCAAAGAAGATGATTGTGTACCGATACTTATGGTAAAAGTCTACGGGAAAAGACTTAAGATCCGAATGAATTAACTCAAATGGTTCTTTAGCCCGTAGAGTAGATGGCGGAAAAGCCTTAGAAGGCATTTTGCCTTCCGCGCATCCAGGGCATACTGGATCTTCCGAAGGAAACTCCAGATTGGTGGGGAAACCTTTAGTGTGTTCCCTAGCTTGCCTCAGGACTTCCTTAGAGGGGTGTCCCATGCGACGGTGCATAATCCCATAATCGACCGCATAGATCGTTGGGAATATAGAGTACGCATCCGGTGCAGGAATTGTACTGACACTG